CCCCAAACCCCCAAAACCCCAAAACCCCAAAACCCCAATTTTAGAATAAATTTGTTTTAAAATATATAAATTTGAAATAAGAAAACCAAATGGAGGAAGAGAACGAGATTGATTACAAGCCGAAGTATGACAAGGAGTTTACTCGAAGAGTAAGTGAAACCACACCAACACCACCCTTGGATGTGCTATTTGACTGGCTTTTTGGATAAATATGTTTCTACCATTTTGAACTTGTACTCACAGCAATCGCTAAGATCTAATTTTTAAAATCCCAGCTGATTTATGAGGAAATAGTTTTTAAGCCGTTCCTGCTCATGAGGCATTTGCTTTATTACTCCAACTGGCGGCTAAATTATACCGCTCCATCGTTTGCAAGCAGCTCTTCTGGTATACCTGGTCTCCCATCAGAATAGCTGGCTCTTTTTATGCAGAAATATGTTGGCTCCTTAAATAGCTTACTCAAGTCAGGCGATTGGTTTCTCAAAGTAAAGCTCAGATTTCTTGGGTTATCTCTTATCAACCGATCTGTACATGTTCTTGCCCGCGTTTGATGTCAGTGGGTAGCCAATCTGGATGTACTAACTGTGTATAGCTGAAAATGCCAAAGACGGAGATATCAGATATAAAGATAAACCCAGTGGATCCTACCTATTTTTATGTGTTCAAGATTCAGACAGTTGAGAAGGAGGCCAAGATCATTAATTACACTGCGACTGAGGGTAAGGAGTTGTTTTCATGTTTAGATAAATTTTATGATAGAATGGCTGAAGTCAGGGAGCAAGAAAGAGATAGTGAAGATAGCGACTTTGATTCAGATGATGATGCTATGAGTGGAGACCTGTTTGAGAAAACATTGGCTTATATGAGAAATAATAAGATATATAGTGTTGGTAAGTTTGGAAGTGTTATGGTAACACCTAATTTTATGGATCGGAAAACTTAAAAGTTCTTCCTTAATCATTCATAACAAGAGGATCATGATTCCCTTCTATCATTCACTAATATTTTGCATTTACGCTAATTATTATTTTCCAAATTATTATCTTTCCGGTGCCTACTGCTGTGTGGATTAGCGTTTGGCTTATTTTCAAAGCTCCATCAGTTTCTTTCTGGTCACTAAAAACTAAATCTGATAGCTCACTTTAGGCAAGGATGGAAAAGCAAAGGAAAATCTTGATACTGGAATTCAGGGTGCTGGACAAGACCTCAACAAGTTGCTCTCTAATAGAGCAATGTCCCGCATTGATGGGGCAACCAATCAATCTAGAGGGGGTATTCGTGTCAGAACTAAGACAAATTTAAAGAACCTTGTTCCAGGATTTGGAACTAAGAAAGGCCCTAAACCAGTTAGTGTGATTATAGAGGAGAGTGGTGAAGGTGGAAGCAATAGCCTTTCTGAAAAGACTCCTTTGGAGAGGTATAGGTAAAGTCCTCTAAATATTCGAATTCATAAATGTTTACTATAGTGAATCGGATGAAGGCGAAGAAAGTGAAGAGAGCGAAGAGAGTGAGACTCCAGAATCCTCTGGCCAACAAGCCAGCAACGAAAGTAGTGAAGAAGAAGAGTATGATGGAAGCAGCTCTGAAGAAGATGACGAAGGCGGCAGTAGAGATAGCAAACATTTCGAAGGCGGAAACTCTGACAAAAGCTCAGTTGAGGAGCCTGTCGGTGGACTAAACCCACAAAGTCGAGAAGTGAGAGTTAATGAAGACAGTAAAGTTTTGGAAGAGGAAGCTAAAAGGAACCAAATGGCTACTGAAGAGCCCATGGTTGGTAGTGATGAGCATATTCATCGTGATAGCGATGTTCCTTTGAAATCTAAGGATAATGCTGATTCTAAGAAAGAAAAGGATGGTATTTTGAGCAACCTGAAGAATCCTTTGGATAGTAATAATACTTCTGATGAATATAGTGGGCAAAGGAAAATCAAGCAAGAATCAAAAAGATGGAGGTAAGCTTATTTCATAAGTATTTAGATGCCAAAGAAGCAGAGGCAGCAGCTAATCAAGGTAAATTTGTTCCTAACTCTTTGTAGACCAACCTGAGCAGGATGATGACCAGATTGATAAGAATGCTATTGAGTCCTATGAATTCGAGCGTATTAGATCTGAAAACTCAGGAATGGTGATTAAAAAGTTTAGAAATGTACTCATGTGCTGTAAATTTGAGCAATATGGGTATTCTATCAAGCAGAAGCTCTATGCCGATGAGGTATTACTTGTCTTAGCCAACTTTAGATGGGAAATGATGTCCAAGGAGAATTCAAATTCAGTAGTAGGATGGTATTCTCTTCATGTGGTCAATACTTTGCTACTTATACTGGAAACAAATATATTATCTATCAAGCTAAGTCTTTGAAAATGGTCAAGACTTTTGAGCTTGATAATTTCGTGGAAGATGTTGAATATTACTATGGCAATGTAAGTTTAGAGTGGGTAATGAGTATAGGATGACAACAAGTTCCTTTCTTCAGATGCCAAATTTCTCGCATCTAAAAACTACAGCTCTATTTTCGTCTACCGTGCATACTCTAATGATGGTGGTGAGCAAGTATCGCAGTATACCAATGGAAATGTAACTTTCCATGGATTCATGAACTCAAGTTATCTCATTGGAGTAGTGAATGAAATAGATACTTCTTATATCACTAAAGTTGATGTTACTAATGAAGAGTTCCGCTTGGAAAAGATCAATGGGTCTTACTATGATGAAGACATCACACAGTTCATAAGTAATATTAAGTTCAACCCCAAGGGTAAAGCATGTGCCTTTGTGGTAAACGAGAACGTTCTGTATTTCCTCGACCTAAGCAGGCGGAACTCTACTCCTCAGAAGGTCCTGGAGAGATTCGATAGGATTATCTATGATGTAGACTCTGATAGGATCTCCATGGCTTATATGCAGGATAATCAGGGCTACATCGCTTTGTACAAGAACGTATTCATGTTCAGAAAGCGCTATGACAACTTTTACAATCTGCATAGTATTGATTCTGATGATAACAACGAAATTATTTATATTGAGGGTTACGGTCCTTATAAGACCATCCACACTTTTGATGAGCATAATTCTAGTACTATTAAGTTCGAACCCAAGATAAGATTCCATTACCCTTTCGTATTTTATGAGTATGAGAGAAATGAGCTGTGGTTCCAGAATATCGAGGAGAAGGACATCATTCATAGATTCGTCTTTGTTAATACTGTCTCTGGTAAGCAAATCTTAACAACCTCTCTTTGTCTGGGTTTTAGTAATTTTGTGAACATTTTCAAGCTTGGGAAAAATAGGGGAATAACTATGTACTTAACTCATCCTTTTTATAGCTCTGAACTGTATTGATACTGTAAACACAGGATTCTGCTACCAAAATGCTCCAAAATTGTTCATTAAGCTAATTCTAAGTTTTGAAGCAGACCACAAAATAGCATATTTGGATATTGATTTTGACGCAGACGATTACGATCTAGAAGAAGGAGATAAAATATTGTCAGCAAATGTGACTAGGTAAGGCTAATGTTGTCAAAGTTGGTCTAAAATAACCTTTAGGTACACAAAATCTATTAAATTCACTGAGTTGCCAAATGCAGACATCCTGTCGTTCATCGAGATGACTGGTAAAAATGAGAAGAACCTGACTGAGACTTGTTTCTTGTTCCACTTCCCTAGCCAGTTGAAGTTGTATTTCTTCAAGTCAGGGAAGATTAAGAAGAGCTTTGAGAAAATCTATCAGAGGCGGAACATCGTCAGTTTCAACAAGCGGACTTTCTTTTGGGAAGACAAGGGCAGGTATATCGAGCGGATGGAAAATGACATATCCAAAGATGAGAAGCACTACTTCTATAAAGCATATGATGCTAAGAATGTGATGAAGGTAAGGCCCTCGGCTTAACTTTAGATGTGCAAAAAGATTGATTACCACCGGCACAAGGAATGTCTTCTAGTCTGTGATGAAGACAAGTTTGTCAAAATCCTCTCATATGACGAAGGAAATAAGAAGTTTGATGTGGAAAAGGAATACTATGTGAATGAGATGTTTGGACTCTATGAGGACCTTGATGCCCTCAATACATACTATTTGGCCAAAGGAATGCTGTATAAGAATGATCAGACTTATCTATTGCAGGAAAGAGGGAATGAGAAGGTTTCTAATTGTGTCTCTATTAATGTAGGTGCATTTAATGACGTTTTAGGAGCCAGCGAATTTCAGGTATAACACTCGCCAGTTCCCTCTGGTGTCTAACAGTCATATTATCAAATCAATGGAGGATTACACTTACTCTGGTAAGAACGAGTTCTACATCTGTTCTCCGTACAACTCCAATAAAATCCCCAACGTGGAGCACTACATCCTTGGCTTGGAGTGGTTCTCGCCCGACCAGAAGGACAAGATAATCCGTGTAAAACTTCTACACGACTACCAGATAAATATATCGCTTAATACAGCTAATGGAGATGTTTTGGAGACTTTTCCAGTTTATTATTATGCAGAGAATCTTGAGATCACACCGAGCCAGGACGGGAGATATTTGATGATTTATAGTCAGGATGGGAATGATGAGGATAAGGATCCTAAGGTCAATTGGAAAGCGTATGAGATTTGTATTAGGGCACCTGATGAAGAGGGTAAAGCTGAGAGGTAAGATTGTGGAGGGAAATTTAGGAGAGAGAAGGATGAGAATGGGTTTGATAGGAGTAAGGATTGGGGGTAATGTGTAGTAAATGAGGAAGATACTAAAGAGGGAAGTTCAGGGGCGAGGAAAGATGTGTTTGAGGTTATAGAAATTAGATCTGGAACTGTTGAAGCACACTTTGATGGAATCCTTTTTGATGAAATCAAAATGGCTATTCTTAACACTGGTGATATGGTAGCTGCTCACATGGAAACAAAGACTCTCATGTTCAACAAACACAACTTCTACGACCGAGTCAGTGGAGCCATCCTCAACCACTCAGACGGACTCAGCCGTAACGATGACACTGGTGGGTTCCGAGTCGACTCTGACGATGTGAAGATCGGCCAGAGCTATATCCTCATGAAATTCGCAAGCTCCTTGGTGTCATTCAGGTTCGAAGCAGACCCAGAGCACCCTGACCGTCCACCTTCCGTGCACTCGTTCAAGAAGCTCGGAGCCCAGATGGTGACAGAATACAAAGGCATCGAACTCGACGACATCATCATCACAAGTCACCCAAGCAAAGTCCTGCTTAAGTACAGCTTCGAAGAAGTCAAGGGAGCTGCCGAGAAACACAACATCTTGGTCTGGGACATCGAGAAAGACGAAGAAATGTCAAGTTTCACTTCCAGAGACAACGACGAGTTTCTGTTCTATGTGTACTGTCCCATAGAAGAAGTCACAGAGAGCATTCTTCATCGAGCTTCTACTGGAGACAAGTACAACCGAGACCCCAAACTGGCGAGAAAACTCAAAGCCGAAGCCAAGCGCAAACAAGCTAGCAATCGCAGACAAGTTTACCAAGAAGATGAACCAGAAGGAGGCCAAGACGCTGATGCTGCTGGCGAAGGAGACCAAGAGCAAGACCACGAAGACGAGCCTGCAGACGCTGAAACCTCAGACCGCTATCGGGTCTCTGAAACTGGCTACTTAGTCTTCGACCAGTACTATGTCAACCTAGACTCCATGGTTCCGAGTCCGTTCATGCAGTTCGAAGGAGAAGACTTAGCCAGAGAACATTACCAGTTCGGCCCCAAAATGAACTTTGATGAGTCGCTTGCTGTTGTTAACGGCAAAGCCATTTCAGCCTTCAGCTACCTCGACATCGAGTTCCGATCCAAGAGACAGATCTATCACGGTACGTGTGTTGTAACCTTTAGGAAATCCGAGCATTTGCAAATACTTTGTCAACGGAAAGTCCATTGTTTCTGACTACATTCTTGAAGACGAGAAGCTCGAAAAAGTGCTCGAGTTCTTAGAAGAAGACCCAATCTACTTGCTCATGATTCTGACTCCAGACTACAAGAACAAAACGCCTCTTGACGAGGCCATCGAGAACAACTCTCCGAAAGTTGTCGAAATGCTACTCGGCTCCATCCTCAAGCTCGAAGGCTTCAAGCTGTCGAACTCGTTCAAACACAGATTCCTCGAACTCTTCGACATGGGTGTCGAAGCCTTCCGCCAGTACATCAGTCTGTGCTACTTCAGGACCGGACAAATGGAGTTTATGAAATAAAATGTCTACCAGCAGCGAAGGCCAGATTTTCAGGCTGCCCAGCAGGTCTTCCGTGCTCGGCAACAAGTTCAACGACAGGTTCCTTAAAGAAAAGAGGAAAGAAGTCCTTGAGTCTCCTGAACTCAGAAGAGCCAGAACCGCCAAAGAACTCGAGGCCAATCAAGTTGTCAATGGTGACGAAGACCAGTCTAAAGACGACGAAGACTGAGACTCCGAGACCCTTGAAAGTGACCTCTCGCTCTTCGAAATGGGCATCCAAGAAAACCTTGATTATTTCGAACTCTTCAAGAAGGAAACTCGAATTGAAGTCAAAGGCATCGAGTTCGACTGGATCTTGAAGTCACACGAAGGAGAAATGTTCCTCGAGAAACTCAAGAAGACTGAAACTCTTGAGTATTTCGAAATCGACCTGATCAAAGACATCATTTACTTCCAGTGGCAGTACTTCTTGCCTCGGATCCTGGTGCTCATCTTCGCTCCGTTCTTGGTGTACTTCATTTCGTTCGTGCTGTACTGCACCTGGATCCTCGACCAGAAACACAACGAGGCCAACGACGATGGAGGCTGGCACGTGGCTGCACTGACAATGGGCATTTGCATTCTGGTGTACCAGCTCTGGTTCGTGTACATCAACATCATCCACTTCAACTCCACCTACAACAATGTACTGGACGTGCTCTCGATGCTGCTGAACACATCAGTGATCATTTGTGATCTGGCTGGAGCAGCCAAAGTAGACATAAATGCAGTGGCAAGTGTAGCTGTGTTACTGTTGTGGCTCAGGCTTTTTTTCATGCTCAGAATATTCTCCAAGACCTCTTACCTGATTAGTATGATCATAGCTATTATTTCTGAAATGTTCTACTTTGTGGTGGCTCTGATCATTGCTATCTTCGCGTTCGCGAACACCTTCTTCATCCTTGGTCGAAACGCTCGAGGAGATAACGATAATTTTGCAGGCTCAAATGTGTGGGATGCGTTTATATTCTCATATAGAATGGGACTCGGAGATTTTGATACTGATGGGTTCGCAACTAAAGATGAGGTCCTTGTATGGATCTTCTGGTTCCTCAACACTCTTATAATTTTGATCATCCTTTTGAACTTGGTTATTGCTATTATGGGAGATACGTTTGATAGAGTGCAAGAAACTCAAGTTAGCACAATGCTTCAAGAGTATTGCCGCATTATTAGAGAGAATGAGTTCTTAATCAGCAGAAAAACTTTATTTAAGGATTCAAAATATATCATTATTGTTCAACCTGAAAGAGCAGAGGGTACCAGCACCTCATGGGAAGGAAAACTGAACCAGCTTAAGAGATTCTTAGAAGAATCCTCTAAGAAGCATGTCTTCCATCTTAATAGGCTTGAGAAAAAACTGGAGAGAATGATAGAATCTGGACTTGAAGATAAGTTGAAACCGCTTGAGGAGAAGATCAACCTCAAAATCAGTGCTCTAGAGAACAGACTTCAAAAATCTAACAAAATGTTTACGACTTATCCAGTCAAAGAGCTTCTGGATACTGTGGCTGATCTATAAGTTTTAAGTTGAGTCATGACAACATATTGCATCCCCATTTTACACTTCTTTTGGTTAGTTTTCTAGAACATTCCGTGGGGTGTGGAATGTTCCATTTTACACATTTCTTCTATTTATCGAACATTTTAATTTTTCTAGAACACTTTTATATGGAAATATTCATACCAATTTTGTATATTCAATGTTAGCTTAACTTAATGGGGTTTTGGGGTTTTGGGGTTTTGGGGTTTTGGGG